TCAAGGCCTGGAATGAACAGAGAAGGAATATAATCAGAATGAAGTTCAGGAAGGGCTGGAGAAGGAGAGCCCAGGGCAGGGAAGCAGGTTAGGAGGCTGTAGTGAGTTTCTGTTGCATCCACACTCCCCAATCTTCTAGGGCCAAGTCCTCCCCTCCCCCACCCCCAGTTGGGACACTTCCCCTGCTGTAAAAGACCACAGAGATCTGGCAATCAGGCCATCAACTGCTTCCTTCCCAACCCCCTTCTGGGCCTGCCTGGGCCACACCCCAAGGCCAGGTCCCACTGAGTTCAGGCTGGTCTCCAGTTAGCTTCCCCCCTGACCTGTGCTCCCATGGGCTATGCTCCCTGCTGGGCCCAGGTGAAGCTGGTACTGGGAAGAGGGAGATTTTTGCCTATCCCAGTCAGTTATAGCTTCTGGCTGCTGTTGCTGTCCAGTAAAATTCAGGATTGTGGTGGGGGTGTTTGTCCAATTCTGGGCTTTGGAGGGATCTGTCCAGATCTCAGTAATGGCAGCTGGAGCAAGCAAATCAGAAGGCACTGATTGCACGCTATCCCTGTACTCAGCTTTTCTATGGGGAGAGTAGAGAAGCCCAGGCTCCAGTACTGGGGGACATCCACAGGCTGGGAAACTTGGGTGTGTGACTATTGGAGGAGAATCACACAGAGCCAAAGCAGGGTTAAAAGGGGTGGCTGTGCAGTGGAAGTTCAAGAAAGAATTCAGTAGCCCCATGGGACTATGAGACTTAAGCTAGGCCTTGAGGGCTGAGGGAGATTTGAGAGAGGAGAGAGTATGCCAGCAGAGGAAAGAGCAAAAGTTCTAGAGGCAAGAATGGTCCTGGCTTGTTTACAGGAAATATTGAAGACCTCTTTGGAGCAGGGAACAGGGAACTCACATTTGCAAAGTACCTACATTGTGCACATATATTGTATGTTAACACACTTAATCCTGATGACAACGCTATGAGGTAGGTAGTGTTAAATTTGAAAAGGTGAGGAAATTGAGGCTTAGAGAGAGAAATCACAAGCCCAGGGTCACACAGCTGGTAAGTGGCAGAGCTAGGATTTAAACCCAGGTCTGTCTGACTCCAGAATCCCTACCAGGTACTTTGAATGCCAAGATGAGGGACCGGACATGATCTGAAATAAGTCAGGAATAAAAAGCCAGAAAAAGTCATTATAATTTACCTAATAATACACTGATCTGCAAACATTAATTTCTTTACTAAACAAAGGTTCTCCAAAAAAGGCTACCTAGTAAGTAAGTTACAGTTGAGCCCCCATCCCCAAGCAGGCCACTCTCCTTGTTTTTGGCCTCCTGCAGCACTGAAGTCCCTGCTCACACTTGGCACAGGTTGTTGTTTTTAGTTGCCATTAAGGCGGTTCCAACTCATCGCAACACTACCTTTTAGCATATGCCCTCTTAAATGGGCAATAGAAACTTGGTTCAGGCCATGGGATTTCAGAGAAAAGATCTGTCTTGGGAGAGACGATAAGAGTCTAAACTGGACCGTGAATAGGGTAAATTGGGGCTGATGCCACCGCTCGGACACTTACATACTTGGATTTAGTGTTTCCTGCCTCTTAGGATGAAAGGCTTTGCTACTGTCACCTCCTCTGTGCACAGCACTTCACACTTTACAAAGCACATTCATTTTCTTGATTTCATGGGACACTTGCTACTGCTCTGTGAGTCTGGGAGGGCAAGTATTATCACTCCTGTCTTACAGATGAAGAAACTAAGGCTCCAGGAGGGGAAGTGACTTGCTCATAGAGGCCGTGTGATGCATTGTGGAAAACACACAACTTTGAATCAAAAAGCTGGGGTTTGTGCCCTGGCTCCCTTACTAACTAGCTGTGTGACTTTGAATTACTTCTCTAAGTTTGTTTCCACATCTGTAAAATAGGAATAGTACCAGTAGGTTGTTAGAAGGATCTCATGACATAATACCATGTGAACTGTAAGGGTTGTACTGGGTGAGGGCTTTTCATCAAGCGGCAGCTTCAGCAGGTGAACCCAGGAGGTCAGATTCAGGTATCCAGTGCTCTTGTCCCTACACCACACTGCCTCTGCCTTGATTGCTTCTAGACACTACCTCATTCAGGATCCTTTTCCGGTGTCAGTCCCTGCTCCCTGCCAGCTGGGAAGCTACCCTCTCCTTCCCTCGCTCCTTTGTGGGCTGATTTACTGATTGCTGGTTGATAACCACCTCCTTAGAGAGCAGCCTAGAGCCAGCTGTACTTCGTTTCTTGGGCCTTGTGACTGTTGTGCAAAGTTCCCTCCTTGCCTTCCTGCCTGGGCCAGCCCAGTGCTGGGCTTGTTGGGGAGAGTTCCCAATCATACTGCCATACCCATCCTCCTGCTGTGTGTGAAACTGAAGATTTACAGGCCCAGTAGTTATGCTCTGAAATGCCAGGGCCTCTAGAAATCCACTGGACACAAGTAATGACAGCCACCAGTCCCCTCCCCTGCTCCCAGGGCTCTTTTTGTCTTATTTCATCCACCCAGTGCCCTTGTCAAGACATTTTCCTCTTCATTTCATGAATAGGGAAACTAAGGCCCAGAGAGGGTAAGTGCCTCGTGCTTGGTTGCAGGGAGTCAGCAGCAGAGCAGAGCTGGGGCTAGAACTAAGTAATGCCTTCCAGTCCCAGGTTCTCTCCACTGCCCTGTTGTTAGTTGCTGTTGAGTCGCTGACTCATGGTGACCCTATGTGTACAGAGTGGAACTGCTCCATAAGTTTTTCAAGGCTGTGACCTTTTGGAAACAGATCACCAGGCCTGTCTTCCAAGGTATCTCAGCGTGAGTTTGAGCCACCAACCTTCTGCCTAGTAGTCAAGTGCTTAACCATTTGCACCACCCAGGGACTCCCTCTCCACTGCCCTAGACGGCCCTTATCTCCTTCCCTGACCCATTCCCCAAGAGTCTCTGTTTGAATGTCTGGAGGTTGAACACACTTATTCATGCAAATTAAGGTTGAAATAGATTTAATGGAAACCAGAAAGGCAACCTCACAGAGTGAAACCATTTCCCTTACAGCTGGCCCCAGGGGAAGCTGTGGCCAGGGAGGGAGCTAGGACCATTCCCTGGGTCCTGTGCAGCCCCCATACCACCAAAGTTACTTCACCACTTCCCGGTGGGGGAATTTCCCCTCCAACTTTGGTTCTCCAGGCTTTTGAACCAATTAAGAGGTCAGGCTGTGGGGCTAAGGAGTTCCTAGAAGAGGGTGCAGCCTTGCTTTGTGGAAAAAAAAAAATGGAGAAGATAGGCCATGGTGAAGGTTGGGTGGAGCCAGGGATATTTGGGGATTTGGGTGTGTCTAAAACAGGGTTGCCCCCTCCCAGGGAGAAGGGACCTGGTTGTGGGGGAGAGGCAGGGAAAGAAGTCACATACTGGCCCACAAGAGGCCCCCATGGCCTAGAGGAAGTAGCCAATGAGAGGAGGACCCTTGCCACAGCAGTATAAATAATCACAAGGTTTCCGGAAGCTCTGTCCTGTACCAGAACTCAGAACAGCAGTTCCTCACCCCAAGCCCTGTGAGCTGCAGAGGAGATTAGGGTGGTGGCTGGAGCCAGGACTTCCTCGCTCATACTTACCCCACTAATAATTACAGTAGCCTGTTTATTGGTCACTTCCTATGTGCCATGCCTCGTGTTTAAACACATTAGCTTATTTCATACTCTCAGCAATCCTAATGCAAGATTATCCCTATTTTACAGATGAAAAAATTAAGGCTCAGGGAACTTAGATCTATGTTGCCCAAGATCATTCATGACTAGTTGATGCTGTGATTAGAATCCTTGGCCAGTCTGACTCCACCGTCTATGTTCTTGGTGATGGTGCTTTAATGGCACTGTGCTCTACCCAAGAGGCTGGAAGCCCCCGAAATTCTTCAGAAACACCCACTGTGGTCTCAGAAAAAGGGATGTGTGATTAAGGGGAAAATCAAGTTTTTGTCTTGTCCATTCCTCCTGGCTGGGCTTGGAGGATCTGCCCCACCCCACCAAGGGCCTCGAAAGAAGATGCTGATGGTCTGGGAGCCCCTGCCTCATTCATCGTCATATACCTAGATTCTAGCCCAAATTCCAGCTGGGCTCATTCTCCAGTATCCCTCTGCACCAAGTTGCCATCCTGGGTATGTGTAGCCAGATAGGATTTTCCATGTTCACAAGAATGATGGGGCAAACTCTCCCCCACTTTTCCTTATCTCTAGGGCACCCTGAATTGGGACGGGGCAGCTGTCTAGAGAATTTTACTCCTTACTCGGTGTACTTCTCATTGTGCCTTTTGGTTTGCACTCAGTAGCCAAGATGTCAGGTCTGGAGAAATTGAAAATACTGGTGCAGTGGGTAGGGTGGCCCTGAGTTGGGAGAGGTTCCACCCATGGCTGCATCTCAGAGTGACCTGGGTCAGCTGCCCTGTGTCAGTACCCCTCTCCAGTCTACTGGGTGAGGGGGGTCCATATCTGGTAGACCCCTGCAATTGAGCAGCCTCCTTCTGTATCTGTACTGCTTTTACTAGTGCCCAGAGAAAAACAAAAATAGTTTAATACTTATTGAGTGCTTATCATGGCCAGGCACTGTGCTAAACGCTTTACATGTATTAACTTAATCCTCGCAACAACATAATGACATAGGTATTATTTTATCCCCAGTTTACAGATAAGAAAACTGAGGCATGGAGAGGTTAAGTAATTTATCCAGGGTCCCACAGCTAGGAAATAACAGAACCAGGTTTTGCCCTTAGTCAGTCTGGCACCAGAGCTTATATGCTTCACACCATATTATACTGCCAGCCTTCAGGGTTCTCACACCTGAATACCTTTGCTTGAACTCAGGGCTGTTCTCATTGTGTATCTGTCTCTCTGTGGTCTGTCTTGATGGGATTGTGGGATGGTGTCAGGTTACAGGAACAGGAGCTGGTTTCTCTTTGTGCCCCCATCCTTTGTTCCCAGTGGGTAGAGGACTCCCTAACCAGGAGTGTCCCTCTCATCTGTCCCGCAGGTAACTGCATCCAGAGGGGCCCAGAAGAGGGAGGAGGCGTTGCCTCCACTGCAGCAACTACACCCAGGATGCAGAGCATCAAGTGTGTGGTGGTGGGTGATGGAGCCGTGGGCAAGACGTGCCTGCTGATATGCTACACAACTAACGCCTTCCCCAAGGAGTACATCCCCACGGTGTTCGACAATTACAGCGCCCAGAGCGCAGTTGATGGGCGCACAGTGAACCTGAACCTGTGGGACACGGCGGGCCAGGAGGAGTATGACCGCCTCCGCACACTCTCCTACCCTCAGACCAACGTCTTTGTCATCTGTTTCTCCATCGCCAGTCCGCCCTCCTACGAGAACGTGCGGCACAAGTGGCATCCAGAGGTGTGCCACCACTGCCCTGATGTGCCCATCCTCTTGGTGGGCACCAAGAAGGACCTGAGGGCCCAACCTGACACCTTACGGCGCCTCAAGGAGCAGGGCCAGGCACCCATCACCCCTCAGCAGGGCCAGGCGCTGGCCAAGCAGATCCACGCTGTGCGCTACCTCGAGTGCTCCGCCTTGCAGCAGGACGGCGTCAAGGAGGTGTTTGCCGAGGCTGTCCGGGCTGTGCTCAACCCCACACCGATCAAGCGTGGGCGGTCCTGCATCCTCTTGTGACCCTGGCGTTCAGCTTAGAGGCTGCCCCTGCCCCCCTACCAGTTGTGCCTTGGTGCCTTATCTGCCCCTACCTGTGCCTTAAGGACTAATTCTGGCACCCCTTGCCAGGGGGCTCCCTGAATCCCATTTTCTCTGAGTGCCTTTTCTCTTTAAGGAGGCCTACAGGGAAAGGGGCTTTGGGCCTTGCCCCACAGCACTTGGGAAGACCAGGTGTTCTCATGAGCTCACCTGGGCCAAGGTTGGATCCCTTCCCAAGAGACCAGGCCAGTGCCCTCTCCTCATTTTCCCCTACTGACCAGTTCATCCAGCTTTTCCACACAGGTGTTGCTGCCTATTGTGGTGCCTCAGGTTAGAGGCTCTCAGCCATCCTAACATCTGCCTTCGCTGCTCTTGGAATTGCCCCCTCCCCCCAAGATGCTCTCTCCCTTCGCTAAGGAAGGAGCCACAGAATCCTGAGAAGATGAATGTGCCCTAATCTGCCCCCATGTGCCTTGGTCTTATGCATCTGCTGACTGACTCGGCCCCTGTGCTCCTGGAGGCCTTTCCTTCTATCAGCATCAATAAAACCTCCTGTCTCCAGTGGCCCTGGCTCCTCCTGTGTGCTAGGCAATGGGGGTTGGGCAGGGCTGGGCATGGGCTAGGGCTCCCCAGAGACTGGGAGCCTTTTGTTTCCTGCAGGAGGGAACAGGAGACAATAGGCTTCATTGTGGTCCCCCCACCCCCCCCAATTGAGGTACCAGTCTTGCTTTGGGGTCCAGCCATAGATCCTATAGTGGACTGGGATGCAAAGCATGAGGAAAGATTTCCTGATCTAGGGCTCAGAGAGGGAGATTGAGAGCCATTGGCCTGAAGACAGGGTGACAGTCCTGATATTCTCACAAGTCATGCATCTGAGGGCTGTGCCCTTAGAAGGTGGATTCCCCAGTCACTCTCACCAAAATGGGCTTAGACCAGCCTCACAAGACTCCAGGTCTAAAGGGGGGTGCCACTTGGAATCATACCCCGCCATGGACTTGTTCCCTCCATCCTGGAGCCTGTCCCTCACTTCAGTTCCTATCAAACAATCAGAGACTAGCCCCGAGGACTAGCAGGCCTAATCCATACTGTCTGCAAAAAAAAAAAAAATATTTATTTTCCTTTGAAATAAAATGTACAACCAGAAGGGATCAGGGCCTGGGGCAGTAGAGAGGATGCGGGGACACCAGGGAACCCATTTTGGAGTAGGAATCTGTACCTCTGACACCTCCACCCCATAGCTTTGCAAAGGAGGAAGAGTCTGTAAGCCAGAAATTTCAGAGGGGAAGGGAAATAAATGCTATGCTGGGTTCCTTTTCTGGAACAGGTCACCACTCAGATACAGATTAACACCTCCATCAAGTGACCTCAAAACCACAGACTGGCAGAGCCCTTGGAAATCATATAGCCCTCCCCACTCCCCAGTATACACATGGACACAGTGATGCTCAGATAAGGGAGGGTATACCCAAGGGCACACACCAAAGAGGTGAAGTCAGGACTAGAACACCTGGACAAACTAAGCAGGGGACTGTGGCCGTAGGTCTGGATGTGCACAGTAGATCTTAAGACATCAAATGGATGACCCCGTAGAGCTGTATTTCAGGTAGTGGCCCCTGCTCCCTGGTCCCTAACCTTTCTGAGAGGTGGCTATGTAAGGGTCAAAAACTAGGATGTGGTTATGAACCTCATGACTTTTTTTTTTTTTTAGCACCAGAAGGTGGAGCTCTCCTGCCAGCACAGCTTCTTGAGTCCTCTCAGGCAGGGGTGATGCTGCTTGAAGGCCCTGTGCCCATATGGGAAGTGAGGGAAAGAAGAAGCCAGCAGGGCTGGGTTAAAGCCTTGTCCTATGCCCTTCCTCCCTCCACCCTACCCACCACCTCGCTTCAGTAGGGCCCAAAGAGGACACAGGTGGGGAAGGCCAGGGTGTCATCTTGTTTCTGGGCAGTGGGCCTCCTCCCCAGCAGAGAAAGGTTCAGAATCGCTTTTCTTCAGGCTGGGAGGTAATGAGCAGCTCCTTGTTCCCGAAGTCCCACCAGGCGGTCATGTGGAACGCCATGTTGGTTAGGACAACAGTGTACTCCAGGATGGCAAAGATGGTGTATACTGTCGTGAGGACACAGGAAACAGGGCAAGGTGACTCTCCTGCCACCCCAATCAGGGGCTTCTTGGTAAATCACTACATTCCTAGACCAACACAGGGAACACAATAGCAGCCAACCCCCAAGACTACTGCCATATTGCCCATCATAGAAAACAGCACAACTGCCCCACAGCCATTACGACCACCTATGGATCGCAGTGTGGCCTCACCTCCAGCCTCACAATACATGTTGTGCCGAAAGTAGACAGCCAGCGCTGAGAAGAAGGCGATGAAGTTGATGATGAAGAGCCTCTGTTTCCAGCAGTAGGATTTTCGCTCCTAGGGAATGGGCTGTCTGATCACCCTGCAGCTTGCTGGATATGTGTGAGCAGCCTCCCCTAACTTGGCCCAGGCTCCTAAGGACTGGGCCTTGCCTCCCTTGGTTCCCCACTAGTGGTCATGGGAAGGGACATGGGCAGGGGCAGCAGGTATGATGGAGATGTTCACAGCCCTGCTGCCTGGGTGCAGATCCTCATTCTACCCCCAAAAGAGCCTCCATATATTCTGTTCTCCAGTCCCCCATACTACCCAAACCCAGTCCTAGACTCAGACCAATCACCTTGTTCCCAACCCCCAACCCCAACTCCAGCACCCATCAGAGTTCCCATTAGAACTGCAGTTCCCACCTCACCATTACCACATCCTGAGGACAGATGTCCTTGCTTTTCTCCTGGGCCGCCTGCAGCCCCACTAGGGGTAGGTCCGTACCTCCTGACTTACTTTGTGCTTCTTGGTCAGCCGCCAGAGAATGCAGGTGAGGAGCATATAACTGAGGGAGGATGCGATGAACACAATGAAAGCATTCTCGTGGATGGCTGATGAGAGAGAGGAGGGTTGGGGGCGCACATTACAGGGAGTTGCCAAACCCCAATGTAGGGTGAGGGGAGGGACAGGGCGCATTCCCTCCCTGAACCCTTCCCCTCTCCTCCCTGGTCTGGGCACCCACTGAAGTCCTCGGAGGATGAGACGTAGGTGAGCACTAGCAGCGCGAGGTTCTCGATGACGTTGAGGCTAAAGTTGAGACGGCAAAGTGGGCGGTAGCCGGGGCACGAGCAAGCACAGCTGAGGTAGTGGTTCCAGTAGGCGAAGGCCACCAAGAAGCGGGGCGCCGAGTGCAAGCCGATGCAGAAACGCCATACGTAGCGCTGGGGAACCTCCCCACCAATGGCTGAGCTCACCGATGGCAGGTAATTGGGCACCTGGAGAGTTGTGACTGGTCTGGGCACCGCCTCCACAAGCCCTGCCCATCTGGACAGCCTGCTCTGTATCTATCAAGATAACTCTCATCCCCCAAGGCTCTGCTCCAGCCCCACCCCTTCCGAGATGTCCTCTTTCAGGCTCCCACAGAGCTCTCCCAGGAAACCTCCCCTTCCAAGTCCTGGGCATAACATCCTCTGCTCTCATTCCACAGCCAGCCTGAGATTTGTGTAGGGGCACAGTGGGGCCTCCTCCATCTTCCCCCAAACTGGAACCTGCACATGGCTGGGCACCCATGCAGACGAGTTCAGATATTCCCTGAACCCACAGCGCAGGGCTTTGCCACCAAGAAGGGCCTGTGAGAGGTTGTAGGACCTCTGATTCAGTTGCAGGGGCAGAGGTGAGCCACAGACCATCTGAGCTGCCTTGTGACAGTGCTAGATTCACAGCCCAGCTGAGCTGTTCCTCTAGTTGCTCCCAGCTCCACTTATTCCTCTGGACAGGTGTGCTAAGGTGGCAGGAAGTACTGTGAGATCCTGGGGGAGATGGGCTAGATGGACACCTCCACCATGATCATGTTTAAGAAAGTGGGTACTCCCAGCCTGGTATAGTCTAAGAAAATGACCCTATTCCTGTATACCTCCCCCACCCATCTTTCTCAATGCCTGCAATTCCTCATTCCTTAAGGGTAAGGAAGGAGAAAGAGTTAATAATCACATAGCTAAAAGAATTGGTGTATTGCTTGTATGGGGAGAAGGTAGTTTATATAAGGATAGAAAAGCCAGGGATGCGAGGAGAATCCCTTAGACTCCAGGGCCTAGAGCAGTGCTTCTCAAACTTTAGTGTGCATACTACTCACCTGTGGATTGTGTTTAAATGAAGATCTGGAGTGGAACCTAAGAATCTGCATTTCTGAACAATTCCAGGGCTGTAGAAGCTGTCAGTCCATAGCCCATAATTTCCATGGACTTTTTTAGACCCTTGACAAGGGCCAGGCGATGCCAGAGCCCAGCAAGGGAACAACCCTGCTCTGACTATGGAGTGACAGTCTTCAGAGATGGAATTCTGGAAGATTCCTTCCTTTCTCCCAGTGGGGTGCTGAATGGGTACCTGGAGGCTCTGGGGAGGTAAGCAATGCTAATGCAGCTCACGGGGCAGGAGGCACGTGGGCAAGGACCAGTCAGGGGTTCCAGCCTCCACAAAAAAAGGTGGATTCCCCTCAGCACTGTCAGAAGCAGCTAAGTACAGAGCTCATGGAGAGGGGGTGCTACTCTCAAGGCCATGGCTTGAGACCAGACTCACAACTTCTTGAGTTATCAGTAAAGAGGCAGCACGGAGGCTTTGGAGCTATACAAATCTGAGTCTGCATTCCTGCTCTGCTTTTATTAGCTGGATGATCTTGGGCAAGTCACTTCACCTCTCTAAGCTTCAGATTTCCTCATTAGTAAAATAGGGATAATATCACCTACCTTGCAGAGTGATTGTAAATACAAATATAACATATGTAAAGCATCTGGCATTGTCTGGCATATAGGGGGTACAACAAGTGGTGGCTTTCAGAAGACGAAGTTCCTTGAAGAGCTACATGGCCATTGAGCATGGGAAGGCCTGCATCTGGGGCAGTACCATATATTCGTCTGATACTTCTGAGCCACCCAAGCCTCCTCATTTGGCTTTTCTGCCTTTCTGGTTACCTGACTGGGGTTAGTGGGAATGTCCCTTCCACTCCCTGAAATGTTCATTCTGAAAACTCCTGCCTCAATTTCAGCTATTTTAAAGGGAACAGGGCCAGCATCTGAGGCTTGGCTGGGAGAGCCCACATCATTCAAGGGCCCAGAGCTCTGACAGATGCTGGGGAACAGGTAATGTGTAGAGATGACACAGAGCTGGTGGGGAGGCCTCAGGAGGAAGAAAGAGTTAAGGCCCTGTGGCTGCCAGTCCTGTAGTCACAAGCTCCTCTCAGATTAGGGGTAGGTGTGGGATTCTAAGAGCAGAGATTAATCTATCACACACACACATACACACACATATCCATAATCAGGTACAGATAATCACTCCCATCCCCAGCACACAAATTCCCCACTCACCAACTGTACGAGCAACAAGTAACATCAGGTGCTATTAGACACCACCAGGTACACAACTCACCCAAACCTCCCCATGAGCCCAAAGCTAAGGGGACTGACAGATGAGGACATATAATTCCTTTCCCCAAGAGTAGAAACCCTTTGGCCTGGGGGACATTGTTCAACAGTCCTGTGTGCAGGGCAGTAAATCAGAAACTTACATAGTATAAAAGGAGAGAGTAAAAAAAAAAAAAAAAATCCCTTCCCTATCACATTGTTGTGTGTCTTCGAGTCAATTCTGACTCATAGTGACCCTACAGGACAGAGTAGAACTGCCTCATTGGCTTACCGAGGCTAAAATCTTTACGGGAGCAGATCATCAGGTCTTTTCTCCCAGAGTGGCTGGTGGGTTCAAACCACTGACCTTTCAGTTAGCAGCAGAGTGCTTAACCACTGCACTACTAGGGCTCCTTTCCCCATCATAGCACCTCAGATTTCACCATTAGATATTCATTCCATTGGCCTCAGACTAAAGTCTCCCCAAGTTATGAATGACTTCTTTATCTACCTTACTGCCCCCACCAGTTGCCAACTGGACAAAAATCTCCAATTCCTGTTAGTTCTACTGCTACTCCTCTCTGACTCCATCACCTGCTCTCTATTGTCACAGTCCCCATCTTAGCTCTTTTCTCCCCAATAGCCTGAGCTATTGCATGAACCTCCTCACTGGTCTCCCCACCTATACTCTTGCCCCTACCCTTAAATCTGTTCTCTGCTCAGGAGATAGAATGATCTTCTGAAGCACAAATCTGATCAGGTCCCTTTCCTGTTTAAAATATTCATGGCTCCCCATTGTCTTCTGAATAAAATCCAAAAGTCATCAGCCTGGCATTCACTAAGAACCTTCTTCACCCCCACAGCAACAACGTCCCTTTCTCCAGGAAGAAAGTCTTCCCCAACATTCCAGCTGGGTTAAGTGCTTCCTCTGGGCCCTGCAGTCCCTATAGTCCCTTTTATCACAATAGGAATCCCATCCTGCCGCCTGTATCTATGATTGTCTCTCACAAGAATGAGATGCTGAGGTCAACTCCATGGTCAATTCCATGGTTCTGACACAGAAAACCTCTACTGTTGGGCCCTTAGGAAAGGCCTGGTGGATTGATCTGGGAGGCAGGAAATCCGTCTAGGTCTCTGGCTGGCAGAGTCCTGAGTGAACACAGGTTTTGGGACCTGGGGCTGCCAGGGGGAGAAACAAAGCTTAAAGATCGCGAAGCAGGGCTGGAGATCCTCCAAGGTCAGGCCTCCAGCCTGGGCTAAAGCCATCTGTTACTTCTCCTGGCCCCTAGCCTCATTTTACCTCCTCAGTCTAGGCTACTTTCCGAGTCTAGTCTTCCTTTTTCCTCTCGTGATCTCTCTTGCCCATTCCCAGTTCTTTCCCCATCACCCCCACTCTCTGCTCACTTGTACTTTCTATGATTCTCTTCTACTTTTGGAGGACTCTGACTCTACTCTCTGTGAATCTCTCCTCCAAAGTGCTCCCTAATTCTGACTCGCTCCCCTACTGTTTTATCCTTTCCTCCTTTCTCTGACTTTCATCTTCCCTCCTCCTTTTCTGATTCCACCTGATCACCATCTCCTAACCTGGCCCTGACCCAGGTGCTGGGGCACCTGGCACTCACCCCACAGTCAGTGGCCACCGTGTACTCAAAGTGGAACACCAGGGACCAGATGATGCAGAAGAAGAAGCCGAACACGGGGAAAGTGATGACCCACCAGACCATGGCTGTGAAGCGGAGCCGGAACACAGTCCCGTCGGGGTCCAGGGGCTGGGAGGCCGCAGAGAACATCCTGTGGGAAGTGTTGCCCAGGTAGGAAAAGGGACACAACTTGGGGCCTTACGGGATACCTGGGCCTCGAAGAGTGGAGCCTTTTCCAGAGCTGGCTCCTGAGGGAAGAGTCAAGGCAGAAAGGGTAGAGAGATTATAAGAGAAAAAAGACAGTGCAGAAGAGAAGGAGGTACAGCAAGAGATGGAGAGAGACAGGCAGGCTAAGCTCTCAGGAGTCCCCTTGGTGCACTGGTCCTGTAGGTCCACCTCTTGAAGAGCCTGGAGAATAGAGGCTCTCAGTAGCCTGGACATGGGAGCTCTGATGGCCCATGTCACTCTCACAACCCTCATACCTAGGTCACACTCTCAGAGTTTGGAGGGTTATTATTCCCATTCCACCGAAGAGGAGTCTGTAGCCCAGAATTATGTGAGGATCAAACACTAGGACTAAGGCTTCTTGCCACCTGACAGCTTAAGGCTCCAAGTTAAGGCTTGCTTCAGGCCAAGTGACCTAGACAAAGGACCCTTAGCTCAGACTGGCAAAGCCCTCCCACTGACCTTGTCTGACCACATTCCTGCTCCTCACCCAGGTTCAACAAGGAACAGTGGGAGTGCCACTTTTAATGGGGCCACAGGCTGCCAGCCATCCTGCCCCTAGGCTCAGAATGATCCAAGCCTCAGGCCAGCAGTAAACTGATCCCAAGATACCAGGGTACCTGCCTAAAGAGACCCATACCCCTCATCTCCTTCCCCTCTGAAAGGACTATGTCACCCAACCCAACGTTTGGGGGAATCTGAGGGTTACAGGAAACATCCCTACTCAGCTTGAGCCTGCTGTGCTGTGCCAGACCCAGGTAGCCTCTGTCCAGGTCAGACTTAGGGAGCTAGGCTTCTTCCAGTCCCCTCTCCCTCCAGGCAGAGAACCATCCCCCTCCACCCTCGACTACCACGAAACATAAACGGACCCCTCATGCTGATTCCCTTCTGCAGGGCAGAGAGAGATAGTTTTGAATTAAAAGGCCTAAGACCAAATCTCCCCTTAGGACTCATACCTCTCTCTACTAAGAGCACCCAGTCTACTAGTCCAGCTCAGGGTCAGGGATTGGGAGT